TCGGGAAGACCCTGGACCTCTGAGACTGACAGACTGACAGACTGACTTATCCTTTGGCCCTTCTAGAACAGTTTTTCTCACGTGTGATATGCATACTGCTGGGTAGTTTTAGGTGATACATAAACATTTAAAATTATAATTATTATGAATTTGATTAAATGTCAGGGAAAAAAACCATGTAATTAGTATATCAAACCCATGTTAATGATATGGTATTAATTAGGACAAGAAAAAAAATCATTCAATAAATAATAGGGCAAATAACTTATATACCAGAACTTTTAAAGCGGTAGGTGAGGCAGTTTGGGAAGCACTGTGCTATGGCATCTTGAAATTTGAAGATGTAAGCAGAATTCAAAGCCTAGCACCCCTTGAGCCTCTATCAGTTCTTAGCTTCTGTGCTACAAGGGAAAATAGTCTCTAGAACCTCCATGAGAGATGGCGATTCACCCTTAAATCTCATCTTCATGGGTTGCCCCTCCTGCCCACATCTCAGTCCTGTAGGCCACTGCTTTGAAAAAGAGGTGCTTACCATCTTTCTTATCTCTTCCATGGACTTCAGCAAAGGCGAGCTGAGGGAACATATTTTTCTGCTCCCTCAAAGTGCAGACGGTTGAATACTTCCCTTCACTCTTGAAATCATTCTTGGTGGAAAACCTTAACAAAGAAAGTTCATTTAGTAAATCCCAGGGTTGGGTGTTAGTGGAACCAGTCACTATGCTCTCAGATTCCAGGGGAGGAGAGAAGGCGACGACAGGTGTTCCTTGGTACAGAGTGGGACTACTGTTCATGAAAGGGAGGCTTCTAGAACCTAGCCTGTGAACCTGCTAAGGAAGCTCAGAATCTCCTCTCTCCTCTCCAAACGGGATATAGGCTGCTCATAGAACTAGTTTCAAAGAAAATCTCATAGCACAGTGTTCCTATGCTATAGCCCTTATCATGCACTTGGGGGAGGGTGGGGGAGGAGATTTTTTCCTGTTTCCTCAAATCATAGACCTTTGGCTATTTTTTTTCTTCACTCTTGAAAATCCTTCTTAGTGGAAAACCTTAGCTCTGAAGGAGTTTCTCTTAGGGTGTAAAAGATACTGGGGATTGCGTGTTATTAACATACAGTTGTACCTTTCTATACCCTAACAAGCAGAAAGTATTAAATCGTATTGAAAAGACATGGTAACATGAATAAGGAAGTGATGGGAAAGAAAAAGAGAACAAGAGCAGCCAGGGCTTCACCTAAACAGTTGTTCTTGTTTGGATTTCGAATCCTTCAACAGCGTCACAGGGAAGACTGGCTTCAGCTTAGGTCTTAACCTTTTTTTCTGAGGCAACGGGGGTACGTCGGTCTCAGTGGGTTTGTGCTGATAACTTTCCTGCAGCAGAGGAAAGAAGAGAGAGTAAGGGAGTCAACCAAGGACCTTGGGACTTAAAGTTCTGGGACTAACTTCCAGTCCCCCAACACGATCCAACCAAACCTGTCAGAGTAGGAAGCAGGCACTCAGAAACCAAAAAAAGAGGAAGCAGTTCCGAGTGGGCTAACGCATGTTTGTTTCCTTGCCAGATGACTTGTCCAACGCTTTGCCAGTTTCCTTAGTACTTGATTGAACTTGCCCCCTGGCCCTTTGAAGAGAGCGGTGGAAGAATTTACCCAGTTTTGAGAAGGATTCAATTAGTGAATTGCTTAGTAAATCAAACATTTGATAATAAGTTGGGGGGAAAATTCATAGGACTCTACCTTCCTTTCTCAGAAATGGCTACCTCATTCACATTCTATTCTCTGAAGTGAAGGGGCCACCAAATGCAATGTTTTGTGATGTAATAATGTCATCATTCTTAAAGGTCACAGAGTCAAAGACTTTCAGAAAGGATAGTAAAAGTCATCTAGTCTAACCATTGATCTGACACTCATTTCACCTACACACTATCTCTATCAAGTGGTCAATCTTCCTATACCTAAAACACCAACCTAGCCTGCCAGTTATGGCTCAATGGTTGAGCATCAACCTAGGAACCAGGAGGTCATGGTTTGATTCCTGGTCAGGGCACATGCCTGGATTGTGGGCTTGATCCCCAGTAGGGGCGTGCAGGAGGCAGCCAATCAATGATTCTTTCTAATCATTGATGTTTCTATCTCCCCCTCTTCCTTCCTCTCTGAAATCAATAAAAATATATTTTTTAAAAACCCAACCTATTTCATCTTTGATTAGCTGATAGCTGTAACTTCTAACTTATAGTCCTAATAGAACAAAGGCAGTGTCTCTTCCACAGAGTTCTTAAAGAATTTGAAAAAATCCATCAAGTTTCTCCTAAGCTGTCTCTCTGTCTCATCCAGGCTCAACATTGCCAATATTTTGAAATTTTCTTTATATGACATGGCTTGGGGTTCCTATTCTCCTGATTTATCTCATTATAACTCATTTGGGAAAGTTACAATTAATATTCTTCCCAATGTGCAGCAATCTGAAATGAAAACAATATGTGAAATGTCACAATTGCAGGACACATCCCATCACCCCAATAAAGTGTCAGATGTCATCAACTCTTCTAAGAGCCTACTATTCAAATTACTATCTAAACTACACTATCTAAAATCACCACTCACACCCATTCTGCTCAGTTCCTTTATCCTGCTTTGTCTTGGCATTTATCACATGTTTACATTAACTGTATGATTGCTTATGATCTGTGTGTCTACCTCACTAGAATTAAACTTCATTTGGGTGAACTTTACTTTAGTCACTGATATATCCTTATTACCCATAACAGTGCTTGGCACATAGTAGGTGCTCAACAAATATTTGTTGAATGAATGAAAAAATGAATGACCAAACTACTTAATCGATATATATTGAGCTTTTTCTTTCAGAATTTTAAAACCTCTTTTTTTTAATACTTGCTGCTGAACATGTCCTTTTAATTCTGTACTCATTTCTATATAATAAAAGCCTAATACACAAATTGTCCTCTCTACCAGGTGTTCGATGGGGAGTTCAATCACTTGCTATGATATGTGCTGACCACCAGGGGGCAGCGAGGAACATAGCGGGTGTTGGCAATGTGGCGCTGGCAGCAGGTGACAGTGGAGGTGCTACCGGCCCTGATGGGCCCTGATGACAGCGGGACTGTGGCAGGATGGTGGAGCAGGCGGTCAGGCAGCGCCAGGCCAAGGTGGGTGTGAGCAGGGCCTGATCGCCCTGCCAGTCGCCCTGCAGACAGCGAACAGCGGTGGTGGGGCGGGGGCTGGGCCACCACCTGGCTTCCAGGCACTGAGAGAGCCGGGC